TTTTTTTTTTTTTTTTTTTTTTGAGAGGTTTTTGCTATAGGGCACGTGTGCTTGCCAGAAAGAGAGATACAGAGAGACAGAAAGCGAAAAGTCACCCCCCAGGGGATGGCCACGCCACAGTCCCTTCTCCTCCATTCTTCTCTCGGGATCTTGGGCACGCACGCACACATGCCCGGTGTGAGTTTAAGCCACCGGGTCTGGGACTCGAACCGCAGTTGACTACATGGGAGCCAAGCAACATAGCCATTACGCCAACTGTTGGTCCCACGTTAAGTCATTTTTAGTGTTTGTGTGCTTTTAATGGTATTTTTGCACTCTTATAAATAATAAATTTAGGGGCCTAACAGGTGGTGTAGTGGTTAAGGTGGACTCCCACATGACTGACCATGGTTCGAATCCTAGTCCCGGAAGCTTGAAAATCATGCCAGGTGCGTGTGTGCCCGCCCGGAATCCTGAGAGGAGAATGGAGGATTGTGGTGTGGCCATCCCACCCTGGAGGCATTTCTCACTTTCCCTCTCACTGTTTGTCTCTCTCTCTCTGTCTCTTTGGTGAGTGCATGTGTCCTGTGACAAAAACCTTAAAGATAGAGACAACAAATTTTCCGATAAAAAGTCAATTTTAATAATAATGCATGTTGCTTCTAGATGAAGAGGATGGTGATTTTATGTATTAATTTTTTGTCTTTCTATAATATTTGCTGCTTTTGTAATAAGAAACAGTTCATTTTGGTGGAGAAAGCCTAGGAGGGGAAATCTTGGCCTTATATAAATACTGAGGTAGCAGTCGGTCATCCTAGCTTGGCACGGAGATGACCTTCGGGTTGGGGAAGCTGAGCTGTCCTGGCTGGGGCCCTGCATGATCTGTGTTCTGATTCAGGGCCTGCTTGCTCTTGGCGACTACATGAACGTCCAGTGCCACGCCTGCATCGGGGGCACCAACGTCGGGGAGGACATCAGGAAGCTGGATTATGGTCAGCACGTTGTCGCGGGCACGCCAGGGCGCGTCTTTGGTAAGAGCTTTGGTCCGTAAGACTGCCTCAGCTGACATCTGTAAGAGCTGCTCTCACGGTTTTAATTGGGTGTGCCGCGTGGCGGGTATTCGCATGCGGGTCGCTTGCAGGTGGTGGAGAGAACAGCTCCGGTTGCCGTGAGCGTCCTTCAGCGTGGCCACACGTGAGCCTTTCAAAATCTCATTTTATAGATATGATCCGTCGCAGAAGTTTAAGGACGCGTGCTATCAAGATGCTGGTTTTGGACGAGGCTGATGAGATGTTGAATAAAGGTACGAGGGGCGCTGTCCGCGAAGTTCTACCGTGCAGAGCTGGAGTGCGTCGCGCAGGGGCGTTCTGAATAGAGTAGCGCTTTCTTTTTGGAAAAGCAGTTATGCCATGGGCACAGCTACGAATGCAGAATTCTCGCTCGGAGTGTTCTTATTCCGGGGCCCGTGGGGGTTTCCGAGCTGAATCACAAGCGGGGCAGCTGCGTGGCAGCCCAGACTGACGCTGCCCCGCGCCGTGGTGGTCAGCACGCGTGGGCCGACGGGGTGCAGCTGCGGGACACCCGGAGCCGATGGGGGTGGGGTGGGCGTTGGGGCTCGTTCACAAGCTCAGCCCTCTTCCCGATTAGACATTCAACCTGTGCTACGCGTGAGTGCAATTGGGGTTTTAAAATATATGCATAAAAAAGTTTTCTTACGAACTTTCATAAAAAATGTAGGTAGGGCCACCCGGTGTCGTGGTGGTTAAGGCGGCTGCATCACAGGGCCAAGTGGGCTGTCGGCGTCTGGGCCCAGCAGCTTGAAGAACAGCCGGGGTGTGGGCCCAGAATCCTGAGAGGAGAACAGAAAATGGGATTGCAGCGTGGCTGTCTCCCTGAGTGGTGCTTTCTCACTTTCTCTGTCTTCTCTGGCAAGCACCACACCCTGTAGCAAATTAAAAAAAAATAGTTTGGGTAAACTGACCACCAAAAGAAATAAAACCCCACTCGTCGAAGTAAGCATCGTACACATTCGTGGGCGTCGTCCTAGACAAGCAGAGGTGCCACGCAGGAAAGACCGAGATGTCGGCGTTGTGGCGTCGTGCCCGTGCCCCTGCCCGCGACGGCGGTGGGTCAGTCTGTCCGGGTGTCTGCGCAGGGGAGGGTGCTCGGTCCGGCCCTGGCAGTGCCGTGATCGGAGCTATCCTGCCCTGTCTCGGCCCTCCTGATCTGCGCAGGGCGGAGGGTCAGTCACTGGGGCCTGCTGGGTGGTGGCTTCGCTTCCTAAATGAGAACCAGGGAGACCAGCGCTTCAGCTTGGGCAAACTTCTGCTCTGTCCTTGGCGTTTCTGTTTTAAGCCTTTGTTCTTGTGGAGTAGAAACCGGTCCGTAAAGGGTGGGGCTGAGATGGAGGGCCTGTTGTTCCTTTCCAAAGCCTGTTCTTGGGGTGAGGAGCTTTGACCGTTTGTCAGACGAGGAGGGAAGTTTCTATATCAGACAGTCTAGTTCTTATGGCACGTGGTCTTTGCCGTGGCCTGAGTGGGTTGCTGGTGACTGTCGCCTCGGTCCTGGCCTTCCACCTGTCAAAGATTTCCAGGTGCCAAATCCCACTAATGGTTTTGAGGTTCCTCCTTTGCTGCTGTCCCCAAAGACCCTCCCGAGCCTGTGGGGTCACATCCCTGTGGACGCCTTCCCACATCCAGGTGCAGTCCAGGAGCGGGTGGGTTCTGCTCCCTGCTCTCCGTTTGCAGGCGTTTCCCCAGTGCCGCTTCCAGGGCTGGGCCAGGGCCACTGGGGTCTTCTGAGGGGGCACTCGTGACAGGACTGTCCAGGGTGGCTCGAGGGCCGTGCAGCAGGCCTAGCCCTGGGCCTCGGCCCGACTGCAAGGCGAGCGGGAGGGACGGCAGCGTCAGGTGTGAGGCGGTGTGCAAGGGGAGGCCTGGCTTCTCCCCCGTGCGGGGGCAGGAGGCAGGCAGGAAACCCACGCGGAGAAGCCGAGGGCCCGTCCTTGCCAGTTCCCGCACACTCTCTGCCTCTGCGTGAGGGAGCCGGAGCCCCGCTGCGCCCCAACGTGCTCCCGCGGCCTGGGCGGCTTGGGCAGCCTGGTGTGGGAGGGAGGCCTCTGGGCTGGAGCTGGGAGCTCCCGTGTGAGTTTGCTTCCCGGGCATCACGTGAAACTTGTGTCCCCACCGGTCCGTCCGAGAGGCCTGTTGCTGTGTCAGAGAAGGTGACGCTGTTGAGGGACGGGCTGTCCCGAGTGCCCTGTCGGCTCCCAGACTGGAGACTGGAGAAGCAGAGGGGAAGCCAGAGTCCCCTGCGAGAACGCTGGTGGGCGTAGAAAGGGGGGACAGCAGATCCGGGCCGTGCCGCCCCGAGCCTCTGTGCGCCCTCACGCCCTGCGCCTGCTCCCCAGGGTTCAAGGAGCAGATCTACGACGTGTACAGGTACCTGCCGCCGGCCACGCAGGTGGTCCTCATCAGCGCCACGCTGCCGCACGAGATCCTGGAGATGACCAACAAGTTCATGACGGACCCCATCCGCATCCTGGTCAAGCGGTGAGCCCTCCCGGCGGCCAGGGCACGAGTTCTGCCTGGAAGGGGTTTAAACGGGAAAGGGCCTTTTCGTTTCCCCTGGAAACCGGCTCCCTAGTGCTGGTTCCTCTTTGCTCCCCTAATGCCAAACGTGCAAGCCGGCAGGCGGTGCGCGGTCACCACTGCGGTCTGTAGAGCCGTGTCCAGGTGAATCTAGAGTGGGGGCTCACGGTGCAGAAGTGACAGCATAGGATGGGGTGGGGGGCTGGCTGACGGCAGACCGGGTGCGGAGCGTCCCGTGGCACGCCCGTGTCATGGTGTCCGTCTCTTCACCAGTGACGAGTTGACTCTGGAAGGCATCAAGCAGTTCTTCGTGGCCGTGGAAAGGGAGGAGTGGAAGTTCGACACGCTGTGCGACCTCTACGACACGCTGACCATCACGCAGGCCGTCATCTTCTGCAACACCAAGAGGAAGGTGCGGCGTGGCCTCTGTCCCGGGAGGGGCTTGGAGGAGTCTCGGTCGCTGGGATCCGGCTCCCTGCGCAAGGGCAGTGGGTACCTGGGAGGTGGTGGGCATTTGGCCCGTGGTGGACGCAGCTGTGTCCCAGTCTGGCTGCCCTTACAGAATGGTTTTTCTGAAAGCCTGCTGACGGGCTGGCAGGTGGCGTGTGGCTCAGTACTGGGTTACCATGTGGCTGGCATAGTTGGGGTCCCAGGCCTGAAAATCGGCCACATAGGCCCGCATGCCCACAATCCCAGGAGGAGACTGGAGAAGGCCTACGGGGTGGCCGTCCCCTCGGGGGTGGTCTCTCACTTTCCCTTTCTCTGGCTCGCCAGTGAGCACACATGCCCTGCGGCAGAAACCTGAGAAATAAAAGCAGCCTTGTGCTACCGCTGCCCCTGTAGACTGAGGTCTGGTGGTTTGGGTGCTGCCGAGGTGTGGGCAGAGCTGGGCGGGACCACAAGGCCTGCATTTAAGTTTCACGTGAGAACAGCCGGGTGTGACCCCGCCCCACGCCCTGAAGTGGGGCCCCACGGAAGGCACGGTCGGCGGACCTCGCAGCTGGCTCCTGTGTGGGGCAAGGCGGAGGTCTGCAGGCTGGGCGGGGTGTCCGGGCAGTGCTCCGAGCGGCTCGCTGGCCCTGTGGGCGAGGCGCGTCCTGAGCACGGCTCTTCAGTGTCTCCCGCTTGGTTTGCAGGTCGACTGGCTGACGGAGAAGATGCGAGAGGCCAATTTCACGGTCTCTTCCATGCACGGGGACATGCCTCAGAAAGAGCGGGAGTCCATCATGAAGGAGTTCCGCTCCGGTGCCAGGTGGGTCCCGCCCCGTGCCCTAGGCGCCAAGTCCTACACAGGCCCTGGGGGGCTCCTGCGGCCGAGCCCTGGGAGAGGGTGGGACCCACCTTAAGTAGGTGCGTGGGTTACCTTAGAGGCTTGTTTCTTTGCTTCCAATAAATGGGGTTTTCTGTTGATCTTTTTGTCATTGGGTTTTGGTTGATTTCACGGCCAGAATGTACTTTGTGTGAGTCCCTTTATTGGAAGTGTGTTCAGATTTTGTCCAGCTTTCGGCGTTCGTTTTGTTCGTATCTGCCTTTAG